TTTGATGTACTTATTAAAATTCTTCGGTCTAATAATGTTCCTGAGCATATTCAATCATTTATGAAAATATTTTGTGTTGACCGTGACATTATCCATCAAACCATTCAATTACATACCTCCCAATAAAATGGCATTGTTGAACGTAAACATCGCTATTTGTTGAATATTGCCCGCACTTTGATGTTTAACATGCATGTACTAGAGATATCTGTGAGGGAAAGGGATACTCAAACTAAGAGTAGAGCCTTGTATATATAGTCAAATAATAATACAAAGTGACCTAAACATCCTTGTGGTTTAGACAAAATATAAAGTCATAGTAACGGTAAAAAAGGAAAAAAAAATCCTAATAAATTAGACTATACTCCAACACTCTCCTTCAAGCTAGGCGCAAAATATCAACTAAGTCATGTTTGACAATGGAGTCCTGTAGAATGGATAGAATAGCAGGTTTATTTAAAACATCCGCAACCTAATCACTGGTCCTCACAAATAATGGAGTGACAATACTATAGCGAACCTTCTCCCAAAGAAAGTGAACATCGATCTCTATATGCTTCGTCCTCTCGTGTAATTAAGAGTCAGAAGCAAGCTGACTAACAGATCGATTATCACAATATAATGTAGGTGAAGAAGTCACTGAAAATCTCAACTCGCTAAGAATCGATCGTAGCTAGATAATCTCACATGTGTCAATGTCTGATACTTAGTCTCTGTTGACGAATGAGAGACAATTGTCTATTTCTTGTTATTTCAAGTGATAAGATGAGTTCCTCGAAAAGCACAAAACCCGTAATAGATTGACCATCATGTACTCCCCCATAATTTGAATCTGAATAATAGGTTAGAGAGCCAGTCTGAGATCTTGATGCATAGAACAACTCAAGTCCAGGACAAGACATGAGATATCAAAGAATATGATGAACTGCATCAAGATGAGACTGACACGGTCTGTACATGAACTGACTAACTCGGCTGACAGCGAATGAAATATCTGGCCTAGTGTTGGCTAGGTAGATAAGTCTATCTATCAACCTCTGGTAAACAGTCGAATCTCTCAACTCCTCACTTTCTGCAATAAGCTTCAGGTTTGGAATCATGGGTGATGATGTCGGTTTGCACCTTAGTATCCCAGTGTCTTAGAGAAGATCTAGAACATACTTTCACTGAGAAAGAATAATACCCCTGTTGCTATAGACAACCTCAATCCCAAGAAAGTATCGCAGAAATCTAAGGTCTTTCACATCGAAGGCCTTCCCAAGGTCTATTTTGACCTACACAGCCTCAGAAACTTCATCTCTAGTAATAATAATATCATCAATATATACCAAAAAGATGACACACTATCTAGAAGTATTCCGTCGAATGAAGTAGGTATAATCAGAATGACATCTGGTGAATCCTAAATGTACAACTACACTACTAAAGTGAGAGAACCAAGCTCGTGGTGACTGTTTCAGTCCATAAAGACACTTATGCAGTTGACATACCTTTCTAGCATACTCCCCCTCACCATAAAAGCCCGGTGATGCATCCATATAAATAATCTCGTCTAAATCACCGTAAAGAATTATATTTTTCACATTCAACTGATGAAGAGGCCAAGAATACTCCACAGTCAGAGAAATAAGCAATCGAACAGTAGTCAATTTTGCCACGAGGCAAAGGTAGCACCAAAATCACGACCTGGTACCTGAGTAAAGCCCTTCGCTACAAGTCTAGTCTTGTGAGCATCAATAGTACCATCCGCAAGAAATTTCAAGGTGTAAACCTAGCGACAGCCAACAGACGTCACTCCTAAAGGTAAAGAAATAAGATTCCACGTATGATTACGCTGAAGAGCGTTTATCTCCGTTTACATGGCAAGAATCCATTGGGGCTCCCGTATAGCCTCTGAAACAGAGCGAGGAACTGACGTATCTGATAAGGTCATACTATAAGTTCAAAATGTAGGAGAATGATCAGCATAAGAAACATAAGCAGAGATCGGATACAAAGTCTTAGTAGTCTAACCATAACGGACAATTGGACGGCAATCACGCTGCATATAATGATGCCCTAAATCATCATCCTCTACTAACAATGTCTCATCAGGGAAAGTAACTGGCTCAGTACCTGTAATCATAGTTGTTAAAATTGTACGATTCACGAGTTGAATCGTACGATTCGGTTCAATTCACGAGGTAGGAGATTCGAATCTTATGGTTGAATCAAATTTGGTCTGGAATCGTATGCGAATCGCAGGAATCGGACGAACCGAACCGAATCGTATGTATCGTACAATTCGGTCTATTTTTTTAAAACCAAAGAAAACGACATCGTTTTGACTGCTCACGCAGTCAAATGACGTCATTTTTGCCAAGCTCCCAGACCCTAATAAATAATACAAGAGACTTTGTCTCTTTCTCACTTTGCCAAAATCGTTTTCTGTTGGAGAGAGACCCACCACACGACGTCGAAGCTCCATCGGCTCCGAGGTAAGTCACTGCCTTTTCTTCTTCTTCTTTTTCTTCTTCTTCTTACCCGCAACAAACAGCGAGATAGTGTTATAGTAGGCCTTCTGTCTTCCTTGCTCTGTTTTTTATAAACTCTATGCTCTGTTTTTTATTGTTGTAGTTTCTTAATTTCTGATTTTCTGATTTTTTTTTCATTGTTGTGGCCTGTGGATGGATGATTTTGGCGTTACGAATGAGGGTTTTTGTATATAAACAATATGAATGTGGGTTTTCATTATATAAATGCTGCTCTGGTTTTCACTTTATCAATACTCAGTTTTTATATAAATGATGCTCTAGTTATGGCCTGTGGGTTTTCATTTTAGGTGTTTGTGGTTGTATTGAGTTGTTTTGGGTGTTTGTGGCTGTCCATGGAGTATTGAAACATGGAGTATTGAGTTGTTTTGAGTTACATATTGTCGTTGCTGTCCATGGAGTATTGAGTTGTTGGTTTGATGTTCTGTAATGTTGCTGGTTTCAGTTGAGTTGCTCCTTGCAATGAATCAGTTGGTGGTTTATGCAATTTAAAATATTAATTTGCACATTCTAGTCTTTTGTCTATAAAGGATACTATCATTTTTTTCTTCTTCTGGTGAATAGTATAAAATCCTTCATCTCAACAATTTCATTGATTGCTTTCTAAAAACAAACTATTGTAAGATCAACATGGATAAAAAGGCCTATGAGTCGATGACTAGCATCATGCATTATTTTGCTTTATTCTTATGTGGTATCAATGTTTGGCATCTCTTGCTTTTCAATCTTTCTTGGTCTTGGGTATAATGAGGTGAGTGCTAGGTCCTAATGGTGGTTGCTGGTTTGATGTCCATGGAGTATTGAGTTGTTGGTTTTTTTTTTCTCTTTTCAGCTGCTGTTGTTGAAAAGTTGAAGTTGAAGTTGAAAATGGTAAAGAAGAATATAAAAACGAAGCAGAAAAAGAATGAAGATCCGACATGGGATCATTGTTCTCGTGTGAGTGATAATAGAATGCACTTGAAGTGCAATTATTGTGGCCTTGACAAATGGGGTGGTGTGAGTAGAATGAAGCATCATTTGGCGGGGACTCGTCTTGATGTAGCACCATGTACCCAATGTCCACCGAATGTTACAGAAAAATTCTCACAAATGTTGGAAGGTGTGAAAGGAAAAAATGAGGATCCTAATGAATGCTTCATAGAGGATGTTGAAAGAGGGACCCGAACCATGGATTCTTTTGTGATTAAAGGTAAGGGGAAAGGTGCTAGAGGAAGACAACAAACATTAAATGAATTGATGAAGAAAAGAGAACCGGTGGTTCAAGACATATGTCGTTTCTTCTATGGGCATGCACTAGCTTTCAATTTAGTTAAAAGTCCATTGTTTGATAAAATGATGAAATCGGTTGGTGCGTATGACAAAGGATTAAAACTCCCTACCTATCATGAGATTAGACTTACTTGCTTGAAGAAAGAAGTGGAAAATGTGAAGGTGAGTTTGGAAAAATATAGAACAAAATGGAAGAAAAGTGGGTGCACTTTGATGTCGGATGGGTGGACCGATGGAAAACAACGTTCACTCACAAACTTTTTTGTTAATAGCCCTAGTGGAACGGTGTTTCTTAAATCGGTGGATACTTCCGGGGTTATAAAGGATGCTAATAAGTTGTTTGAGTTACTTGACTCAATGGTGGAGGAGATTGGAGAGGGGAATGTGGTTCAAGTGGTAACGGATAGTGCTTCGGCATATGTAGCCGCCGGTAGGTTGTTGGAGGACAAGAGGAAGAAATTATTTTGGTCTCCTTGTTCCGTTCATTGCATTGATTTAATGTTGAGTGATATTGGTGATTTGCCAATATTTCGTGACACCATTTCAAAAGCCAAAGAAGTTACACTTTTTATTTATAGGCATAGTTGGGTGCTTAGTAAATTTAGAGAGTTTTCAAACAACATGGAATTGACACGACCGGCGGTTACAAGATTTGCCACTGCATTTCTCACCCTAAAAAGTTTTGATGATCGAAAGTCTTGTCTTCGACGCATGTTTTCATCGGAAGATTGGGCTAATGGGCCTTTTGCTTCAAAGATCGATGCTAAAAAAGTGGAAAGCATAATTTTGTATGATCAAAAATTTTGGAAAGCAATCAAGTATTGCTTAAAATCTGTGATTCCACTTGTTAAAGTGTTGAGGTTAGTTGATGGTGATGCTAAACCGGCCATGGGATATATATATGAAGCAATGGATAGGGCTAAGGAACAAATTGCCCAAAATTTCAAAGGAGAGGAAAAAAGGTATGAAAAAATTTGGAAGATTATTGATGATAGGTGGAACATGCAACTTCATGCGGCGGGGTACTTTCTTAATCCCAAGTAAGTTTACAAAAACATTTCCTATTTACATTTACTCATATATAAAATAAATTGTAATCCAAATTTTAATACCAAGTAACTTCTTTTGAGGTTCCAATATGATTCAAATTTTAATGCCGATAAAGAAGTAAAAGTTGGCTTGTATAGGACCGTTGAGAGAATGTACCCAGATATTGAAACAAGAATCTCTATTGATGAGCAACTAGAGAAGTTCAAGAGGGCTGACGGTTTATTTTCTATGAGCATGGCCGTGTTAACAAGAGACAAGAAACAACCCGGTAAGAATTAAAAAACATGGTTTTATTTTTATATTATATATAAACTAACCTATATATCAATATATGTATCTTGTTTAAATTTTTTAGCTTAAATCTTTGTTTTTTATAGCTTTGTGGTGGGAAAGTTATGGAGATGATTGCCAAGAACTCCAAAGATTGGCTATAAGGGTATTAAGTCTCACGTGTAGCGCCACGGGATGTGAGAGAAATTGGAGTGCTTTTGATCATGTACATTCCAAAAAAAGGAATCGCTTGGAGCAACAAAGATTAAATGCTTTGGTTTATGTGAAGTACAACATTCACCTTGAAATGAGACAATTGAAAAGACAAGAAAAGAATGAAACATATGATCCAATTTGTCTATCAGATATGGAATCCGATGATGAGTGGATTATTGAGAGTGAAGATCCATGTCTACCAGAAGACAACTCATGGATGGATGTTCATGAATGTTTTCATCTTGATGAAAGTGCATCTTCTAGCAAAAAGAGAAAAAGAGGTATTCTTTAATTTTCAATGCTTTATTGTATATTTATATTTATATAATTATATATTGTTTGTCATTTACCAATTATTATTTGTAGGACCAAGGAATTTAAATGCTATTAAAAAAGGCAAAGCTAAAGTTGTTGAGATAGATGATGATGGTATTGAAGTGGTTGATGATGAGCAAACGGAAGAGGATGAGGAAACGGAGATGGTTGAAGTAGAAAAAGATGATGATGATGAAGATCTTGACCTTGGAGATAATAAAGATTGAAGAAGTTGACTACTACTATTTTTTTGATGAGTCTTAGAGAACTTGACTTTTTGTTTTCATTCAATGCATCTCTCATTTTTTTGGACCATAGGTGATATGTTCATAACTTGACTTTTGATTGAATTGAAGTATATAATTATAATGAATCAATGATAAATACATATTCTCTTGATATATGATTTATTTTATATTGTAGTTGGCGTAAATTGCAAATAATATATAAAAATCAATCACGGTGGGATTTGAACCCACATTTTCTATCCATAAAGGCTAGCGTCTTTTCATTTAGACGACGTGATTATGTCAATTAATTATTTTTATAATGCAATAATGCTCAAAATTCAATACATTATTTTTTTAACTATATAGTTGTTATTTTTTATCTTTGTTTGAATTTTGTGTCGAATCTTACGATTCACGATTCGATACGATTCTCGATTGACAAATTTAAGATTCTGATTCACGATACGAGTCTCGATTTAACAACTATGCCTGCAATCTCATCAGTACTAACAACAGGTGTATTAATATGCTCAACTAACTGAGAAATATTACCTGTATCGCCTGAGGTATAGGGGACATCAGCAGGGAGATGAGAACAAGGGTGACGAACATAAACCTGCAAAAGAAGAGAGATTGGTGACTCTGTATTGACAGGGACGAGTGGCTCTGGAGGAGGAGAGACTAATGACTCTGTAGTGATAGTGACCAATGGCTCTGGCTCTTGTGGTAACAAAAAATCAAAGGAAGTATCATCAACTGGAGGGGCAGACACAGGAGTGGATGAAAAATAAGAAATGTGTTCAAGAAATGTAACATCTAGATTATGATATATACGGTGCCTAATAGGATCATAACACCGATACCTCTTAGACTGATGATAATAGCCCACAAAAACACAACGAATCGGCAAGCTTATGGCGAGTAGGAGACCGATCCTGAACAAAATATGTGCAGCCAAAAACACAAGAAGTGACCAAAAAAAAGTGTCCGCTCAGGGAATAAAACCAGTAAGGGAGCCCTATGTTGAAGAATACGACTCGTACGATTAAACAGAAAGGTAGAAGTCAAAACAGCAAAATACCAATAAGATTTTGATACTTCCATAGCTCTAAGCATACAACGTATCATCCCTATTAGATTTCTATTTTTCCTTTTAACAATTCTATTTTGCTCAGGAGTATATGGACAAGTGAACTGCCGAAGGAAACCCTGAATAGAAAGGTAAAACACTAAAGCATCGGATACATATTTTTTGGTATTATTCGAACGAAGAGTATGAACAATGACATCGAATTGTGTCTTAATCATCTGGAGAAACAGAGCAATGACAGGGAGTACATCAGACTTCGACTCAAGTGGCTTGGGTGACTGGTTCATGTGAGGAATATAACTGATTCGAACATATTTCGATAGGGAACATATAACACAATCAAATTTACCACCAACATAAGTATTGCTCAAAGTAGAAAATAATATACATAAATATTTAAAATTTGTATGCTTAAAATGGTCATGTCATAACTGAACAGTTTGTGATGAAAAATCATAACGACAATTACTAGACAGAATACTAGCATACAAGCTAGGAACAGATAAAGACAAAACAGGTGCAGGTGATAGAGGTGGAGGAACCGGTGAAATTGGAGGTGGATCGCCTAGATAATACAATTCATCTCTCATATCCCCTGATAATAATCCTCTTGGTACTTAGGTCTTGCAAATAATACGAATCAGATAAAAACACAACTGCACAGTAAAAATCTCTAGCTAATTAATATACGGATAATAGATTTATGACCAGTTTTGGCGCATGAAAAATTGAATATAATGTAAAGTCATATGAGAGACGGACTATACCCCTACTAACAATAGGTGCATGTGTCTCATCTGCTAGCTGAACTTGTGTATATAACTATTCATCAAAAGTGGTGAAGTGATGGGCCTCACCTATCATATGACTATTCACACTCAAGTCTAACATCCAAATGGGTAGACAAATTGGCGCAAGCATGAAAGTCACGAGGTATACCTGTAGTGGTGGCTGTAATAATAGTCAGACCCTGAGAAGTTAGGACGGGCATAAGTATATCCAATCGGAAAATAATAGCATCCATATCACTCTACCAAGGAGGAGGAGCAGCAGCAAGAACAACGGTAGTAGGTGGTGGTACCTTAACAATAGCAACAATACGATTTTGTGGAGGCGGCTTAAGCTCTAGATATATCTTCCAACAAGCAGCCCTGAGATGACCTAATCGACCACAATAATCACACTGACGAGAACCGGGAGGTACATTCTTGGTGGAAGTACTAACAGCAGAGGTCTTAACAGTAAAGGTCTCAAATCCCTCAGTAGTAGTCATAACAATAATATACCTCTAGTTGAACAGTAGTGATAGATAAAGAAGGTACAAAAAGCTTTCAAATAATCAAGTCACGGTGCCCAAAAATTCAATAAAGATAAATAAGTGATCTACTACATCAAGTGCAAATCAACAGAAAAGAGGATTCAACCCCTCTTAAAAGGTCCTAGAAGCTGCAACCCTAGGAAAAATGATAGTGGCGCAAAGTGATGGTAGTATTACGACGAAAAGTGTTGTGCACAAAAGCGCACGAAGGCAGGACAGCTGTGATGAAGAGTGCGACCCGACAGTGGATAGGTTCAACTAGAGTGGGTACCACTGGTTCGTTGGAGTTTGGGGTTGTGATTAGCGGTGGAACTTATGGATTGGTTGGATATGTCGGATAGCTGGGTTAGACTAAATTGGGTCACTGCTGGTTTGGACAGTGGATTGGCTGAAGACTTGGGTTCTGATCGGTAGTGGGCTGTTCGATTTTGTTGATTTTGTCTTTTGTGTTCTAAGTTTTTTTTTTTTTTAAGGTTGGCAGTGGGCTAAGTTCTAGTGGCTGATTTTGTCGATGAAGAGTTGCTAGTTGATGGGTTTGGTGGGATGCTGAAGTCAGTGGGTTTTGCTGGAAAGGTTGGCTGTCGATGGTTGCTTTAGGTGAGGACTGGTATGGACAGTGATGGGCAATCGGTGGGTTCAGAGCAGTTTGTTGGAGTTTTGGGTTTTATTTTGTTGTAGTTTGGTGTATGTCGGCAGTAGGTATGTCAGTTAGCAGTGGACTAATTTGGCAGACTGATTTGGCTGTCGGTGTTTGCTGGTTGGTTTGATGGGGTTGGTGGGTATAGCTGATTTTCTGGTTTGGCTGTCGGTGTTATGGGTCTGTGATGGTGGCTGGGCAGTTTATTGGGGGACTGGTATGGGGTGGACTGGTTTATCACTGGGTTGCTGTCGATGAAAGGATGGTGGCTGACCAGTAGGCTGTTGCAAGGAACCAGTTGTCGGAGTTAGGTGAGCAGCGGCTGGTTTGTTTCGCTGGATGCGATGATTGGTGGAGGCTAGGTTTAGGGTTAGGGTTGGTGACTCTGATACCAACTAGAAATATCTGTGAGGGAAAGGGATATTCAAACTAAGAATAGAGCTCAGTATATATAGTTAAATAATAGAACAAAGTGACCTAAACATCATTATGGTCTAGACAAAATATAAAGTCATAGTAAGGGTAAAAAAGGGAAAAGAAATTTTAATAAATTAGACTATACTCCAACACATGTACCAAAACCATATTAGCCTGATGCAGTTCTTATTTCAGCATATCTTATTAATCGCATGTCTTCTCCCTTTTTCGACAATAAATCCCCTTTCTCATTACTATACCCTGATGATTCGCTATTTGGTCTAATTCCTTGTGTCTTTAATTATGTTATATTTGTTCATAATCTTGGTACTGGTCGGGATAAAATCTTGCATCGCTCGGTTAAATGTGTCTTTTTGGAATATTCTCGTACTCAAAAAAGTTATCGCTTTGTGTTGATGTTACCTTCTTTGAGTTTCTTTCCTTATTTTTTGCGTCAGGACATACACTTTCCCCAGATTTAGTATTTTTCGGTCAGGGGAGCTCTGGTTGCCTATTTTACCAGGTTGTGCATTTTTGTCGTCCCCTATTACTACTTCTTCCTTACAAGTTTATCGTTGTTTCAAGGACATATAGGTGTTTCATATGCCCTAGCTTTACTGTAATCTCCAGCTTCTACTGAGGTTCTGCACTCTTAGCCATCGAGTAGTTCATTCTCTTTTTATTTGCCCATTGCATTGAGGAAAGATACTCATACTTGTACCTAGTATTCCATTTCTAATTTGTCTTTTTACATCAACTTACCTCATCTTTTCGTTGTTTTACATCAGTCTTGTCTTTTGTATTTATTTCTAATTTCTTACAACAGACATTGACATCTCCTGGATGAAAATTGGCTATGGATGAGGAAATGAAATCCCTTCATGAAAATCAGACATAAGATTTAACCCCTCTTCCTTTAGCAACTTGTCAATTGTCGTTGGGTCTACACTGTGAATATCATTTCGATGGTTCAGTTGAGCGTTTGAAGGCATGGTTGGTTGCTAAAGGCTACACCCAGGTATATGGTGTCGATTATAGTGAGACTTTTCTCCAGTTGCTCGTCTTAACTCTGTTGGAATTCTTATTTCTGTTGCAGTCAATTTTGATTGGCCTTTGTATCAACTTGACATAAAAAAATACTTTTTTACATGGAGATCTACTGGAGGAGGTATATTTGGCTCAACCTCCAGTTTCTCGAAAAGAATAATTAGTATGTCGTTTAAAGAAAGCATTGTATTGCCTGAAACAATCACAATGTGCTTGGTTTGATAAATTCAGTGCAGTGTTACTTTAGTTTGGCTTTCAACGCTCCACTTCAGACCATTCAGTTTTTATTCGTAGGTCATCTGTAGTTGTTATCATTATTATTGCATATGTTGATGATATTATCATTAGTGATAATAACTCGAATGGTATAGCTTACTTTAAAATATATTTGTGGAAGTAGTTTCATATCAAAGATTTAGGACTTTTTCAGTACTTCCTAGGGATTGAGGTTGTTCGGTCAAAGGAAGGTATTAATTTGTGCCAACAGA